CTTATGTTCATGACGTAGGCTGATGAAAGAAATATCGCAGTTGTACGCGCTGCAAATGACCTCCCGTCACTGTTATTATCTTGCTAAATCAGTGCAGAGGCTTGGAGACGGTGGCGTTACACTACATACCTATTGCACTCCGCCTGTCTGAGCATCTTTGTTGCATGGTCCTGTTTTGTGTTAGGGTGAGCGCTCACTGTTGAAATCTTACATTGTTCTCCGAAACCTTCTGTCTGTGGCCCAGATGAATGACAGACAAATAAACCATGGTGCGCAGAGAAAAAATTCTGAGTCATGCATCCTTTTACATCACTTTTGATGAATAACTTCTTCAGTTCTGTAGCCAAGACTACAGGCATTCATTTGGCAACTTAAGAAGAAAAGGAAGAAAGATGGCGGCGCACCGCACATTGTACTGTCCATCCTAAAATGGCTGACATCACAGCCTCCTCTAACTGCCAAAGACTGGCAAATGCCAGCTCCTGCTGACCAAACCTTTCTTGCATGGGACAGAGAAAGTGGCAGGGGCTCTTTCCCCACTAGCCCCAAGGTCCCCCCCCCCCAGTCACTGCTCAGGCGTTTCTTTTGGTTGGAACTGTGCAAACATGCTGTTTTAGTGAGGCTTTTGAGCGGTCTGGGCTTCGATACGGCATTGGTCCGGTGACAAAAGCAATACCAAAAAGAATGAAAGACCTAAATAAAAGTGAACCTGTATAGAACACCATCCTTTCTGGTGGGAAAAATAGGACTCTGCATTGTGGTTCGGAGAATTTTCTGGGAGGATCATGAGGTATGCCGCTATCATGAATGCTTGTTTGTATAAAAATGGCTGGAAAATAGATCTGGTTGGCATTAGACAGTTGATTTTCTTCTCTGAACTCAAGGAATGTTATACACTCCATGTCAGCTAAATCTGCAAATCATGACCATATGACCTTCCTCTGTATTCTGTAGCAGGGGATTCATTTTGAGCTGTGGGAGGCACACACAAACATAACATCCACGGTGACTGTTGTTAGAAAACAGAACACCAAATCCTCAAAAGTACCGTTTTCCAGGTATATGTGGGGTGGCATGTGCAGAGACACTGCTTTGCGGAGGGGAGTGGGCAGTCTTGGCCCACTACATTGTGTCTGTATATACAAACACTCCGCTGTGGCCATAATGAAAACTGTGAGCTGTGCCTAATTGCAGGGAGTGAGGGATGAAAGGCAATATGCCTGGCCTCATTAGAGCAGTTCCGAGAAGGGAGATGGAAGACCGTTCCCAGGGATCCACAAAGGGAATTGACATTCCCCTAGTGTAAGCGTCCTGCTGGAGTGAAAACCTCCACACACACTGAACTCACCGGGCCAAGCTGAACCCAATCTGCCAGATCTGCACAGCGAGGGCTCATTTACCTTTGTTTAGCCGGTCATCACACACGCCTCAAAATTAACTATGGGAGTGCAGAAATGTCCACTGGAGGCTGGACTCCACACTTGGACTCCCTCTCCACAGTCCAAACATCTACTCTCTCAGGAAAACATCAATGACACAGTCATTTCCATGACCTACATTATATGTAACAAGCTTACATGGTTAAATCATTAAAATACATTCCAAAAATTTCCAGTGATTCATGCCTGTCTAGCTGGCTGCTGGAGTATTATGGGGTTGTCTCTGTTATGGACCCACACATGATCCACGGAGGCAACATTAGTCAGCACAGAGGTCCCTCCCCTAAAGGCAGAGGGAGACACATGGCATTCAAAGCTGGGTCAATATTTATGTACAGATAGAAAATGTGACCATACAGGAACTGATATTTTTTTTATACAATGCCTCACTGATAATCCACAGTTGGCTAAATAACTGCGTGCTCCTGAAATGGAGCGCTCTCCTTACTGTACTGTATATGTTTCAATGTGTGTGTGTGTGTGTGTGTGTGTGTGTGTGTGTGTGTGCGCGCGCGAGTGCGTGTGTGTGAGTAGGGCAGCAGCACATGTTGGCAGGAGGAAGAGGAGGAAATGAAAGAGAAAAAAAATAGTCCTGTGCATAGACATACAGGCCTACCTTTCTGCTCAGGCAAGAGGAAGAAATGTGTAGAGAGTGAGCGATCAATAGATGAAAATTGATACTTGGCGTACAGTTTGAACATCTATGGACTCGGAGGCATCCTATATCAGTCGATAAGGCTGCTATAGCACTGTGTTCAGAAGTCTTTCACAACTAGAAGCACTCACACTCACAGCACAGTGGGGGAAATACAGCGCGTTGTGCAATAAAATAAGCAGATACGCCACATTGTATATAGCGCGAGAAGGAGCGCAAATTCAGGCAGACGGAGGATCCGTTGTTGTAACTGTAACAAACTGACGAGTTAACCCGTTTCACTCCATTCACAAGGCTGTGGGGGCAACACACTGCCTCGGAGCCTACTTGCCAAAGGCGATCTGGCACTCTATATAACCTTATGAATATTCCCAAAAATCCTCCACCCCCCCTCCTCCACCTACTGTCGCCATTTTATACATTGGCGACTTCATATAAACTGCCTTGACTACAGCACCAGATGAAAATTCAATATTCAATAGCGAGGCATAATTTCAGTAAACAACTTTGGAGATCGCGCCTCGCCAATAACGAGAGGTATTCGCGTAATGGAAGAGTAGATGTGTCCTTACCTCAGCAGTCGGTGGGAAAAAATGGAATCCGACATTAATATATAAATGAATAATATTGGATTAGCTCCGATCGTTGCGTTTTGAGAAGAAGAGGAGGCGAGCAGGGGGTGGGAGCTCTCCTCAAGTGAACCCGGTGAACTGGCGTGAACCCGTCAGTGACCACGGCAAGGTACATTACATTACATTACCTTTCCACCCCTCTGCCACACTGTATGGAGACGGCAAAACAACTATGGTCGGCGGTGCAGGACGAGGCAGCTCCAAAAAAAATTATACCGAGTGTATTTCCTATGAACACGTGATTCGGAGCGTCACCCAAAATCCAAAAGCCCTTTCATCTCAAATTTTGGAGAGGGGCGGGGATGAGATGGGGATGTGTGTGTGTGTGTGTGTGTGTGTGTGTAGAAGGGGAGGAGGGGGGTACGTATACTGAGCCCAGTGCACATTTGGGTATGTCGTTATAGGGGTAAGGCAGTGCTCTAACAGATTGGGTTATACATAGCTACAATGGCGCCGCCGAGCAGGCTGAACAGATGGATTGTATTGTGTAATTTTGGGATTTGACAGGAGTTCAGTGATCTGCCGTTTCAGTCAGCTTCATCACCCAAAAGGTCCTCTTAATTAGGTCACATGTTTTTTCAAGAGATGGCTGCCGTCTTTAGAAAAAGAAAAAAAAATTCTTGATGGGCTACTATGAATATTAATCGTTGTGGGAATTGTCATTTAAAGCACAGGCCTATTAGCCTACCGGCTTAAAATAGACTTTTACGCACACGCGTAATAGTGGTAGACCAGTTTACGCAGATGCACAGTGAATGCAGCCTCGTTGTTCATGTCCATTTTTTAAAACTAAACATAATAAACTGTTTTTTCTTGAATCAAATTACCAATGTTAGTTGGGTATTGTTGAGTAGAATAGGGGGTTATAAGGCTGTGACCCTCATGACCTTGTTGGCCTCCTGTGCGTAAAGGCGCACTGAGAAAAGCCCAAAACACACGGAGCCAAGTTTAGAATAAGGGTCTAATAGAAAAAAAGTAAAAAGTAAAAGAAGTACGGTAATATATTCAGGAAGGATATTAAGAGAGCACATCAACAAGAGAAATGGAATATTGTAGTAATAGTACAGAAATAACAATAAATATGATATAGTTTCTCTAAAACCACAGAGTATTATGGACACATTATGCTGTATGTCTTCTTTGAAATAATATAGTAAGTGTTTAGTGTTAAACTCTTGACTATATGTTTGTATAACAGGTAGGGGGGCTACAGCCGGAGGCCTACACAATATACAACACCACATCCTCAATGTCTGTTGTAGAGTATGAACATATAGGGCTACTACAGGCCTAACAGGGATTTGCTCTTCCCTCCCACTTTGTCCTGACTGGGTTCAGACATTGCCTGTAGCTGTGGCTGTATACAGTCAGGAAAAACAAAGATTATCTATCAGGAAGATGAATCACTCAATAGCAAAACAAAAACCCAGGCCGTGGTTCCGGTCTGCTGCAGTGTAGACGTAACTGTACATGACCTGGTATAGTAGTATAGTATAGCCATACACTCTGTGCCCATTAATGCTATGCTATGCTATGATACTATGGTGATTAAGTGACGGGCAGCATACCAACAGGCATGGCTCAAAACAATAGTAGATGTTTTAAATTGTTTAATCTTTGTAATTATACTGTGTTTCTGTATTCTATTGGACATCTTGAGGGTGAGGTGGGGGGAGTGAGTGTGTCAGATTCCTCTGCTGCTGTTGGCACCATCTCCTTTATTGCAGACCTGCCTTTCTGGCCCAGTAGGCCTATATACACAGGATATTATTCAGGTTGAATACAGATTAGAGGCTCCCAAGAGTGTCTCTTGATTATCTTCTAAATTAAAAACCATGCCGGTTTGTTTACGGTTGTAGGTTTACAGTTTATTTTTGTCCGCTGAATTGTCTCTAAGACTAGATGCTGCAGATTTAGAGGTATTGTAGTAATGTAAGGATGCACACAGTATTCAGTGAGTAAATACCAGCTACCACAGGTATAACCAAATCCACATGACAAATCTTCAGCATTCTTCAAGCTGAGATGTCTTGCAAATAGACACTTTAAGTATTGGTGTATAAACACACAGCGTATACCCAGATAATAGAAATGCAATCATGTACGAGGTAACCTGACAGGGTGATGAATAAGCCTAAACCAATGGAGGCCATATGGACGTTACTCTGCAGAGTCTATTACTTTCATATATCAGGACAACTGGTCCTGTATTAACTCATTTGTTGGTTACAACAAGGCGGGCTCCTCGGACCATTTCTTGTACTTGTAGTCGGTTAGTCCTACGGGATCAACTAGAAATACACTGTTGCTATGGTTACCAGCAGTTTGTGCACCTTGTGCACTGGTGTACAGGGGTGGTAAACTGTTGACTGGATCTCTTCCTGGCATATGATTTTAACTCACAATTTTTCTGTGAACATAGCATGACTGAATGTCCTCATGACAGTCTGATCTCCTGTTCGAACCCACAACAAGTCGATAAAATTGTGTTTGTGATACATTTGGACACTGAAATGTGTTATGCTTACTTGGAGGGTAGGCTATCCCAAGCCTGGAAGCATTTCACAGTATAAACCTCAACCACCATCATTATGCAACATTGTTTTTTTAAGTAGGCTTATTGTAAACAAACAAAACCGCTGATGAGCTACCAGCTTTGTGAAAAACATTGTGGGCCACTGGCTCAGAATCAGTGTTTTATGTTTCACACCATAAAACAGAAAGTGCTGCTCCTTTTTTTTTTTTTTTTTACTGCAAACAGCTTCAGGAGAACTTTTGTTTTCCTGGGACTGAAGAAACTGGTCTCAAGGAAACCCACCGTCCCTGTTACCAGGAAAAAGCATCAGAGTGAGAGCTCTGTGCCCTTCACTGCTCTCTGCGGTGTAACCGGATCAGGGCAGAGCAGAGGGACGTACAGGAGGCTTGTTTGCCTCCAAATGAGCCAATGAGATCGGCTTTACATTAGACTGACAGCCTGGCTCAGCGAGCCCGGAGACGCCATCCTGGTTTGACAACCGTCCGACAGCCAATGCGGATCCACGGGGGACAGGAACGGAGGGAAAAAAGCAAAATACGAATCTGACTTCCTGTAGGTCAAACGTTTACCTGCCACCTGCGGGACGTTAGAGTCTGACTGAGGAAAAAGGGGGAAGCAACATTCACAACGATGGCTCTGTCGCAGCTCCTGGACGACTCACCTCTGAGGTTGGGCCCAAAATGCACCGGGGCCGACGACCTGAACTTGCAAGAGTTGTACAACGAGAGACACCGGCTGGCTCTGGAGGAGCTGCTGTCGGGGGGGCTCGACAACTTTCTGGACTTCCTCAGGAAAGAGAGGATCCCCAACTTTCTCTCGGACGATGAGATCCAGCGGATCCGGAGCGCCGCCGTGCCCCCGCGGTGCGTGTCCCTGCTCCACGGCGAGGACCAGCCACTGGAGCAGTCGCTCAGCTGCTCCCTGGACTGCTCCTCCGTCACCTATTTCCCCGAGGTGTCGGACGTGGAGCCGCCGCTGCTGGAGATGGGCTGGCCCGCCTTCACCGCCGGGCTCGTACCGAGGAGTCACACGGGCCGTGGCGCACTTCCAGCCCAGCTACGGGGAGTGCATATACAGCTGCAAGGAGGCTGCGAGGCGTATGATTAAAAGTGCCAGAGAGGTATGCACAAAGAAACTATTAAAAACACAGTTGCATTCTGGTGTGGGCCTTACTAATAATTACCTTACTTTACTTGTATGATTTGGCAGCTGATTCTGTTTCCTTTAAAATCACTGTCCTACAGCTACTAGTTCCGTACTGACAGTATTTATTCATTTATAGATATCCCTTAAGGCACATACATTCTGTTATTGTATTTATTTCACATTTCTGTAGTTCCGGTAGTATTTTCTAGGCCTAAAGCCTACATTGATGCCACAACAGCATGTGTTTGTGTGGAATCATCCTAAAACTGGATTATTATTTTGTCTGTTTGTCAAACTCAAATTGATAATATATATTTTTTAAATGCCCCCTGCCACAAAATAAAGAATGCCGGTGTGTGTATATATATAGTCACTTATTAAAACATTTTTGGAGGGAAAATCTTTTTTGTATCACCCTTAAAATACATGCCAGATTGTCCCCAGGGAATTTCCTTGATCAGTCTAAATTTTTGAAGTTCCGGCATTTGAAATCTTGATAAGAAAGAAAGTAATGACCAAAAGGATAAAACAAACAAAAACCGAGCATGAATATTCATGGTGATGTTCCTGATGGGAGCTGTCAGTCCAGCCTCTGGTTTTAAAAAGAAACACACCAGCACGAAGGGAGTGTGTGGCTTCAGCAGCACCTCGGGCCTGTGTGGGGCCTGCGTGCCAGATGTGCCTCGACTTGCTTTGCTCTACTCCATGACAGTTTGCATTCCCTCTTTCATTAGAGAGCTTTAAACACTGGACTGCCTTTCTCTGGTTTACAGCTAAAATGTGCTGGTGGATACACAGTGAGCTGGCAACCTTAGAAAAATATTCTCATCCAAGTTTAACCGTTAGATTGTCTGTCCTCTTGTGATGTTGAACCACTCACTGCACACAGTCATTATTGTACAACGAGTCCACTGACTGAAACAACACGGCGTGCATCTATATCATCACTGGTCAGCTCACAGGAACACCCTGGTCCTGTATTTCTGTGAAAATTTAACTCTTGTTTTTACACATTTTCCTACAAATAAGCGCCCACACACTGTCATCCAAATAAGGTGTGGAACTCCTGACAAAGCTGCATGTGGATAACACCGGTTTGAAGCAATAAATCTGAGATATGTAAACATCCGTGTCTTATCCTCCACACACAACCTTTACCACAGCATGTGAAATTCCATTCTTCCTAGTGAAAAAGAGAAATCTCAGTTCAGCTCGGGAAAATGGAGACCAGCCCTACAGTCCACCTACTTGTCTCCTGTATAAAAGTAACTTGTTTGCTGACCAAGCGTTACTGCCGATTGCCATGGTAACAGACCACAGTCAATAGAAAGCTCATCAGCACACACATTACTGGGAGTGTGTCTGATAGAGACTCGCAGCTCTGTTTGAATAAGGCCTTGCATTTGATAATAATCAAAACACAGTCATGTGCTACATGTGAGAGAGCACTGCTGCGGCCCTAAAAGGAGTTCTATTATATTATCTCTGTAATTTTCCACTGCAGGTGATTGCCATAGTTACAGACTCCCTGACAGACCTGGATATCTTTAAGGATCTTCAGGAGGCATGCTCCAGCCGCAAAGTCCCCGTCTATATCCTGCTGGACCAATCATGTGCTCCTGCTTTCCTCAAGATGTGCAACAATGTTGGCGTTCGCCTGGATGACCTTCGGGTATGTGGTTGGTTCGCTAACGCTGGGTGTGGCTCTCTGTGCACATTACCGACATCAGATGGCATCAAATAAAAATATGTCTTTGTAAGATTTGGTTATGACTGGGCGGGTCTGCACTTATCTCTCACTCCTGTTCTCTTTTCTCTTTTTAATCCGTACAGCAAATGAGAGTGCGAATCATAACTGGTACAACTTATTACATGAGATCAGGAGCGAGGATTACTGGGAAGGTTCATGAGAGGTTCATGCTGATTGATGGAAACAGAGTGGCTACAGGTTCCTACAGGTAACAGCCTGCCAACCATTTCACCTAAAGTCAAATGCTATAGCTGGGTTTTGTGTAGCATGGAAATGCCAAAACCCTCAGATTGACTAGATTGTAAAGTAATACTTTTTCTTGCTGGGTTTGGACAATAGCTGCAGCTGTTTCAATCATGCATGGTGTTAATTCCCATTTATGTGCAGGTTCAACTGGACTGATGGCAAACTAAACAGCAGCAACCTGATCGAGCTTTCTGGTCAGATAACTGAGAAATTTGACGAGGAGTTCCGCATCCTCTACGCCCAGTCTCTGCCTATAAACACCCGAGGGCCTCCAAGTGTCCGGAACAGCGGCATCTACGAGCATCTCCTCCTCAAACACTCGGCCACCTCCTCCCCTCACCAGGCCAGAGAGAGGCCTGTGGAGCTGGTCTGTCTGACGAGCACCCCCAGCCGCAAGCCCCAAACTCTGGCTGTCCAGCCCCCGTGTGAACCCTCGACTCCAGATCACCGTAATACCGACCCAGTGTCCGACTCCTCCACCATAGATGAGGACTGGACAGAGCAGAAGCACATGCAGGAGGAGATTCTGGCTGGTAGCACCGCTCGCCATTTCCCTGCAGACCAGCCAGCAGAGAAAGAGACCGTGACCCCCAACACTGTCTCCTGCCACGCCTCCACTCAAACCAGCCACTCAGTGACGGACAGGGACACCCAGACGGACATCCAGCTCACACAACACCCCGACCTCATCTCACCAACAAGCACAGGGCCAAACGGGGCCACGTCTCCGTCTTTTGCGTCTCCAGGGCAGATCTCGCCCACCCAGGCTGCTGCAGACAGCACCTTAAAGGACTGCTTCCACAAGCTGACCAAAGAGCGCCAGCACCACTACTCAAACATCCGCTCCAAGTTGGAACACATGGTGACCGCCCTGTCCCAGAGGCGAGAGCTAATGGACGTCACTAACATGACTCAGGGGCCTGGCGCTCACAGCAGGGACAGGGTACACAAAGACTGTGGGCAGGCACCAGACCCCAGACTGCTTGTTGAAAGTGTGGTGATGGGCACATGGCCAAGAGCCAGATGTGTACACTAGTTTGTCTTCAGGGTCTTCGTTGGAGGGTTGTGGGGGGAAGAGCTGTGGCCAGGTTTCTTGTGGATCCTGTGTTTCAAATAAATGGTTTTGGCTTATGCAGTAGAATTCCAGCTTTCTTCTGTTAATCTTTTTTTCAGCAGTGCCCACTTTTGTCCTGCTTTCCATGCTGTGTCCTGTCCATGTCGAAGCAATCTTTTGTGTAATGGTAAGGCAGATTTGTAAATGACGTTAACATCTTGCAGAAATTATGTTAACCGAAGACACGGTGCAATAATCATTTTTTGACCATGTCAGTTTAATGAATATCATTTACTGAGGTGGTTAAGACTTGATAATATCTGCTGTAATATGAGTGAAAAAGCATTCAAGTGCCTTTTTGGTTATTTAATCACATTTGGCTGCTCTAACTGCATCTCAACAACATTCCAGAGAGCAGCTGGCTCTCACTGTGCTTTGCTAATAAACAAAGTAGTATTTTGCTACAGGAGTGCTTATTTTTTGCCTTTTCTAACACTTCCTACATATCCACCCTTTGTGTTCAATTACTGCTCCATTGTAGTTGAAATTGCAATCAGATCCTTGTGAAGAATATCTTTAGAAAACATTTTTTGAGAAGTTCCAGGATACACAAGGAAGAAAACCACGCCAAAGTGACTTCACAAAGAGAATGAGCACCTGCGCTTCGTGTACTGCAGTGCCTTCATGCAATTAGTTGAGAGACAGCATCTGTGATACTGGCACCTCTGCTGATTACGTAGCCAATCACAGTTGCTGTCCAGGGTGGATTTGGAGAAGAAGCTCTGTCACAGATCACAAACATAGATTAGGATGAATGCTAAATGAACGCTTCTCTACACGCACAGATTGAATTTCCTAACTTCTGATTCCTTGCTGTTATATTACATTTTATATTCATTTTCCACACAGATGCTTGTCAACATCATTCTTGGAAAAGGGGATTTCAAATTGCTAAACAGCCAAAAACAGACAGATAATTTTTAGGAGTGGCAGTGAAACGGAGGGTTGGCATTTGTGCAAAGCTCCATATTAGTACCAAGTAATTCTGAATCTCCACATAAATTTAATTATGGCTTTACATGGGCACTATGTGCTGCTGAGGCTGGCACAAACACTGCTTCAGTCTTCATATCTCAAATTTAAGCACAAAGGTCTTACTGTGAATGATCAAAGCACATCAGTGTCTTGGCTCTGGTGAGAAGTGTGCCCAGAATGCCCTCAGTTATAAATGTATTACTCACTCGGAGCTTTATGTGGCTAATGTTTAACTTTATTGAGGAGATGAGGTGTAACTGTCTGTTATCAAGATGTGAAAGCTGTATTCACAAAGGAAGTCCTGTTGGACGTGGCTTCAGCACATGATACAGAGCAGTAAGCAGTAGGTGATCAAAGGATTGTGTTTACACATGAACTGCCTAAAGCTGTTGTTCACTAATGAGGTTAAGTACATTTCTTTCTTGCAGTTAAGTACGTTTAGGAATGAAACATTTACGTCTTAAAGCACGTCTTTCTGCGATTTACACTACTATTTATCATACAATAGACCCAGAGTTATACATAGAGACATTGCTATGTTGTATAACAATACTTGGAGTGGAAGAAGTACTCCCAGTTCCACATCAGTTCCACAATCTAAAAAGACTTATTTTTTTATCACTAACAAGTACACGTAAAAGCATTTTAATGTTTTACTTTGTCAATGTGGAGCCAATTTTAGATACTTTGATACGACTGTGTAGATTTGTAGTAAAGTACTGTATTATACCATTTAAGCATAACGTGTTTTTATATGTAGTAACTATAAGTGTTAAATAAATGTAGTCGATTAAAACATACAATATTTCCCCCTGAGACGTAGTGGAGTAGAAGTAAAAAGTTGTATAAAATGGAAATACTCAAGTAAAGCACAAGTATTTCAAAACTGTACTTAAGTACAGTATTTGAGTAAATATACAATCCACCATTTATATGATAGCTTATTAGTAATTTATTCTAGTGGTGGAAAGTAACTTAGTACATTTACTCAACTGCTATAGGAAAGTACAATTTTGAGGTCTTTATACTTGAGTATATCAATTTTGTGCTACTTTATATTTAATATTGTACTTTTTACTCTACAGGTTTAGTTACTTTACAGATTAAGAGTTTATATACAAAATATGAGGCGATCTTATAAATGAGGACTGCAATTTCAACCATTTTGTCTACTGCCCATTAATCTGATGATCAAATCTTAATTTATTTATGAATCATTTGTTCTATTAAAAGTCAGAAAATAGTAAAAATAAAAAACACCTATTACAATATAATAAGAGTCCCAAATGACATATTTCAATGTCTTCTTTTGTCAGACCAAAACCCAAAGATATTCAATTTAATAAAAACAGCAAATCGTCACCGTGAATAATCATAATAGTTGCCCTTTCCTCAATCAACTAATTGTTTAAATTCTAATATAAATATCAGTGTAATAAATGTTTTTCATTTTTCATTTTTTAAGATGCCACATCCATGCTCAACATAGCTCAAAATGCAAACTATTACATGGCAATAAGGTAAGAACAGCAGGCCTCTTAGCGGCTCCTCCTGTGGTGTGGCATCTCCTACCAGGCAAACACATCAAAAGCCTCTGGATTCATTATGTAAAATGGCGCAGCTGAGGGGAATTGATCTACAAGTAAATACAATGGTGGTAATATGTGAGAGAATGGTATTTGATTTTAATTGGCTGCTGCAAAGCAACCACTGTCTGTAATCAAGGAAGCAGCGGGGGATCCACAATACAACAGTCTGTACCTATTAGGCTCGGCTCACTGGTAAACAGAGAAGCTCACATATTCCACTTCACATGTGACAATTAAAAAACTATATCTATAATTTACTTTTTATTTGATTTTTTCTCTCTCTATAGAACGTGCCTATCTCTACTAATTACTTGGACCCTTCTTGTGATGAGCAGTGGCTGTAACACTAGCAGGACTCAGCCACCAGAGAGAGCCCTGTCCTCAGCTAAAACCTGCTCACTGTTCAGTGTGTCCTGCCTCACACCCCTAATGGAGAAGTGTTGGAACTCTGGGAATACCAATGGATTATTTCTTAGAATAAAACAGCACTATATCAGTGGTTTTTACCACAAGGACTTTGCTGAATCACCTCGATTTAGTGAGAATTGTATTTGTTACAGATTCATTCTGATGGGTGTATAAAATGTACACAATGTAAAAGTTCAAGTTTGGGGTGGAGATATTTGGAAGACATAAACAGCCACCGTCTGATGCCCTCTTCAGGTCACTTATGATCCCTGGAGAATTGTAGTGGTAGAACATCTCCTGATGCATGCTGGGTAAAATCCTTGTGGATGTCAGCATGTCTGATAAAAGGTATAACATTATATCCTACCAAATATTGTGTTAAGGCCTAATCCAGTTAGTCAGCATGCCCATGCTATTGTGCATAAAGATAAACAACACCACATCCAGATGTGAAATAACCTTTATACTGCAAGTGTGTGGAACCAGGGACAACAATAGTGACCATTTGTTTTAGGAGGTAAGAGTTCATACTCAATGTCAAAGTGAATTTCTCTGATAAAACTGTAATATAGTCATTACAAATGACTCCATGTTTATTTCTTTGGAAAATCCTGTTTTTTTATGTGTGAAATGTAAATTTGAAGGCCAGGGGTTGTGTGTAGTATGACTGCAGTATTTTACACTAACAACCCCTCTGTCCCCTCCTCACTTTGCCCCAGAGTCCCATAAGACAGCATAGATCAGGATGATGCAGACAGACAGCACTCGTCATACAATTGATTATTGGATTCATATCCATCACCATGTACATTAATGTAGGCTCCCTCTGTGCATTCCTGGGTGTGAATGCACATGCTGGACTACTATCTGTGACACAGTGTATTTGTTATGGCATTTATATGATCATATAAAGTGAATGAGCAGTGGGTTTTATATCAAATGTTCAGACTTTGGCTCTGGAAATAACAAACATCAGGTTTGGCTTCTGACACCGACTAACAGAGTCAAACGGCTCTCCTGGTGCTGAACATAAACCTTTTAATTACTGCAAACATGGTTGATGAGTTTGAAGCTTGATTACTTGGCCTTCATTAGTCAGATTGTGAGCTATAGTGACTCCCAGAGGCGCAATTTGGCATCTCTAAACACTGCCAGCCTCTGTGTTTAGCAATTACATTTACCCTACAGTACATCCAAACAGGTGTGTGCAGTCAAACACACACACACACACACACACACACACACACACACACACACACACACACTCAAACAACACTTTTTTTTTTATTATTATCAGCTTGAACAAGCATGGTTGCATGTAGGAATTTCAGTCTGTTCTTTAATTCAGAGAAAGAACCTGACTAAAAGAAAACACTGATAAAATGTGCTTAGTGTGCTGAGCCCTGCTTTGTTGAACTCTGCCTGTCATAATGATTTCGTGTTTGCTGTGCCATCTCGGCTTTGTTTTCCATCAGGGCGGCCGGTGGTTGTCACTACACCGAGGAGGGAGCGTTCTGCCTCAGGCCACGACACGCTGATAATGAATGTTCAGCTCATTGGAAAAATAAAGTGTGTCTGAATTATGTGGTCGGGATCTGGCTGTTGTTTGGGTGTGTGAGTCAGACACAGGGACAAGCGCGGATGTTCAGTTTGCACAACAGTCAGGCACTTCCTGTGCTGTAACGCCGAGGCCAGGCCGCAGTTGGGGTAATGCAGGTGGAAAGAATTGTTGATAGGCTCTTTGTTAAACTGCATGTTGAGCTTTAACACGCTGTCCGACAGCAGCCTTGCCGCTATTTTTAGACGGGTACAGCTGCTCCTTAGCACCCACCCTTAAACCAGCCATTCACCAGAGATTTATGGCAGGAGCCCACGAGAAACAGCTGTAGCATCTTGCCACTTGCTTGTCCAAGGAGAGCAAGCCAAGGTCTATTAAGAATTTATTTTGCTTACTAATTTTGCTTTTCTTGATTTTGTTTAGTATCAAATGCAGTTATCAGTGAGTGGGATGCCTCACGCTGCTGAACGTTGAAACCACAGCTCTGGAGCGTCCGGTCCTGCAGCGATGAGTCAGGCTCTGGTCACAACGCCACCTGGGTCCAACACAAGTTCAACACTTGTGGCGAGCTGCTCCCCCACTACACCACGTGTCCCAGCATGTCAGCTCAGCATACTGTCATAACATCTGAAAAATAACAATATAGTTTGTTCCTGATGAACATGACTGTGTGTTTTCTCACCCTGGTGAGGACAGAGAAAAGACTCTGAGGACTTTGTGTTTTGTGCAAAAACCCAGATTTGTCCCTTTGTTCATTTTCTTGCCTTACTGTTCCCTTTGATACTGTATCTACAGTCCAACTGTCACATGATTGTAGTCGTGTAAATTGGCAGAAAAATGCTGTGGAGCTATAGTAGGCAGAAAAATTGGCCTGCTGCTGGCTGCCTTTATGAGACAGAGATAGTGTGTGTGTGCATTGGGGATGGGCACTAAATACGCAGCTCCCTGAGCCACACTATAGCGGCTAAGCTTAAGTTTAGCTTATCACTGTCAGTTTGTTGTCTCCATTATTCAAAAGGACACCTTATCAGCCGAGGCGACGCGTATTAGCCTTCTCCACTGTGTGTGTGCTCCACACAATGATGTTGTATGCTGTTCCACATTAACTCTGGTGTCTATTTCAGCAGCTCTCTATCCATTTATTGATGCATGTCTTCCATTGATCCGAGCATTGATTTGCCATGCAATCCATTACCCATCTGTCTGTTTCAGCTGGCTTTTAAATGATTCGTCAGATTGAGCTATTAAGGGGAGTAGTGGGGAAGTCCAAAGGTTGGTGATACATTCAGATAGAAAGAGGGGCTCTGTGTGTGTGTGTGTGTGTGTGTGTGTGTGTGTGTGTGTGTGTGTGTGTGTGTGTGTGTGTGTGTCTGTCTGTCTGTCTGTCTGTCTGTCTGTACGAACTAAAATGTGTCTGCAGCACAGAGTATCAAAAACTGTCAAATGTTAGTTAATTTAATTTAATTTGAGTTTATTGCTCTTTTTTTCTGTAGTTATACTGTGTTTGTTCTGTATACTTAAACTGTAAAAAACTAATTATTTAAAAACAAAACTAACATCACTTCACAACCATGATATTTTAGACTGTTTTATTTTGTCATTATTCTTGTATGTCTGTTTGTGTTTATACAACATTTAACATTTGTGAACTTTGGCTTCTTTTGTTAGGCTTAATAACAAAGGCTTTCTCGGAAAATCATGTTTACATTTGTCAAAGTAAAGTATCAAAAAATAATTGTTTTGGTATTATATCAGCACTCTAGTATCAAACATTTTCAAATGGTAACCAGGATGGGAATTTTGTTGTTTATTCTTGATTTTAAACATTTTATGAAATATGCTTACTGGCTATTTTTGGTGAGCGTGTGATAAGAAGTTTAACACCACTCTCTTGTTGGTTTGTTAAGTGTGAAGCTACAGCGGGGAGATGGACTGAGGATTTCCTCATCTGAAATGTTTAAGTTCTATAGGCCCGAAGCTCATGAAAACCTTTCAGGATTCAATTGGATAAATTAAAAAATGCTTGGTCATCAAACTACAAAAACAGGTTGTGTTTCTTAGTTCCTGAAAATTTGACATTTTGGAGGTTTTTACCTGACAACAGCGATATTTAGGAAACACACATCCTTCACTCTCCCTTAAAGTTTTGGAAGTGTATTTCACAAGGATAATTTTTTTTACACAGAGCAACGTGCACTGAGATTTTTGATGTTTTATACTTTTTTGAATTATGGTCTGGGTTTTCAGGGTAACACTTTAATCTTCCTGTAAGAGCACACTTTGAGGAAACAAAGAAAATGCCACCAGCCAAACATAGATGTGGGGGTTTCCAGATTGAGATGCAAGATGGATTCATATATATTCATGAATTCAGTCAGAAAAGTCAAACGGAAGCAGTATGATAATCTTGCAGTAATTGCATTTTTCCCTCCCAACTGTTTTTGGCAGAGCCACATCCTGAGACATGCGACGGAGAATGCAGTCTCGAGGAGTGTCACAGCGCTGAACGGTGGATACACTCTGACCCCGTACCTAAGGCCAGTCAATCCCCTGCGGGGTCAAGTGGTGGTTATGCCAAATCCATTGGAATCATAGGTAATGGGATGGCTATCATTAGTCCTTGGATGGTCAATTATATGTTTAATTAAGCAAGACAGACATCAGATAATTGAACTATTGACTGGTCTCTCTGAGTCACATCTGTCTTCTGATTCAGGACAGCACAGCTGAAGTCATATCAGATTTGTTTGTAGCTATGAGATCCTGATGAGAGTGGAAATAAAATCCAGTCCTTTCATTCACTCGACAGATTCATTTGATGTCCTGACCTCTGACTGAAGAACTTTTCGTTTTAATTCTCTGACTGCGCACTCTTTCTCTTCCAGGCCTCAGGAAATGCCATTATAAGCTCACAAAAAAAAAGAAACATCCAAAGGACCATATTTCAAACTATCAAGCTTTTTTTTCATACTTGTCAGTCTGCTGGATACATGTCAGCAGCCGTCTGAAAAGTGCTGACATTGCTGCCCTCCTGTCCGGCAGCCCGCTCCCTCTGTGTGAACTTGGATTTAGCTCAAGGGTATAGCCACCCTGCTAATGTGATGTAGCTCCAAGAAGGAAACAAATTGGCCTGACGTCTCATACACTGCCTTGTCTTGATTGTGTGATGGCTTCTACTGCTAATGTGTTACGATGGGTAGACCTGCACGGGGAGGGAGACGGGTGTGTGTGTGTGTGTGTGTGAGGGAGAGAAAGAGAAAGAGAGAGAGAGAGAGAGAGAGAGAGAGAGAGAGAGAGAGAGAGAGAGAGAGAGGGAGGATGGGGGAAGGGCCTCAGTCTGCAAGATCAGCACAAGTGGAATTGCATTGATTCAGTTAACTGCAGAGTTGGAGCGTGATGTGGAATTCTGTTTATCAAGGGTGGAGTTTACACGATAGGCTCCATTTTGATCTTATTTTCTACATCGCATTCATAATCAGCCCCTGCTCTCTTACTTTAAGCTATAAAATGTTAGATCATCTTTATACATATGGCTTAGCCCCCACCTGGAGTTTCATATGCACAATTAAATGAGCAGATAGGTTATTTCTTACTGATTTAATGTCTTGGTTTAAATGGCAACATAATGTTTCCCTGAGTGTCTTTTGAACCAAAAACATAACTAGAAATGCTCGCACAGCTCAGATGTGATGACACTGGCAGATACACACTGTAAACATCATCATGATCTGTATTAATCTACAAGATCAGATGTAAACAACTGACATCATGTTCTGTAAATCACCAGGAAATGTGCTGCATATTCCAAGTAAATACCGACTCGTGTTTTATATTCAAACTGGAGCTGCTGGCCCAGAAACGACATCTGCTGAATCTTAACAAACTGCTAAATAAATCTCAAACATCGTATTAATTATAGGGAATAAAGCAGCTTTGTAAATTGGCTGCTTCTTATGAATGAGGAGTGTTTGCTGGTTTAAAATACACAGACAATACTGAAGATGTATTTATTATACTGAAAGTACAATATAGAAAGTACACTCTTAAACTGACTCATGTTCACTTATAATAAATCTGTTTCACATCAGATAAGATTGGCCCATATACTATATAAAAAAAAACCCTATGGCTGGTGCTTTATGTGTTTAAAAGCGTTGTCTACGTGCAGTCTGTCCATGTTTCTGGCATTCAGGGAGGATACACGTATTGTAAATTAATGATGCTTGCTCTCTTAAACATACATTTAAAATGGGCACTTGCAGATTTATATTTCCTTTTCACCCTTACCTCTCTTCCCTTCTCTTTCCTCTCCTCATTTCTCCATCTAGCTGTAGGGAATTTGTCTCTAAGGGTTTATCATGACTGCCTCATATTTCCCCCCCTAGTTTGTCATTTTGCTGATCCAGACGCTTTTTCATATTTCAGTATTCTTATCATCCACTGGCAGTAAGATGATCCATTTCACTTATTTCTTAGAAGTGTGACTGCAGCCTAAGTCAATATCTACAGAATGAATTCAGTGTATGGAGGGCTTGCCGAGGAGGGGCAGCTAGTTAGCGGCTGCGGTGGTGGTGATGGTGGTACTGGTGGCGCAGGACAGTTTTTTTTTTATCCAGAGTCAGCAAGGGTAAAATGTCAAGCATTTCTTAGGGAAGCGGCTCCATAGGATTCCATTCAAAGCTTTAATCTTAATTGAGAGCATCGCACATTGATATTCCATAGGCCTCTTTGCCCTTCGCCTCTCAGCTACTTTCATTTAGAGGACAGCCGTACTGCACTAGAGCATGGGGATTGCTTTGTCAGACAGCCAAGAGGCCAAAGGCAAGGTCAGCCTCTCTTTGTAATGGTGGCTCACTATGGAGTGAAGGCATCACCTCTTTGATGTTGTCAGTACTTTTATGAAACATTCCTGAATCTTCCTAAAGTGAAACTAAATGAAATGTAACTTTCAACATTCTGACATTGCATCGGCATGAAATACTCATATTTTAGTTTATTATGATAGTAGAGTAAAGATAGGTAGTGGCACAGCTTTCTGATTTCTAAACAAGCCACTTATTTTCCCCACAGCTCGAGGCCAAACAGAATGATGATTTCATGGACCAAAGGAGGATATTTGCATATTTAGCAGTGAGCGTCCATAGCAGCCCCAGAGATTATTCAATTATGCTTAAAATTATCTGAAACAATCGTTTGACTCTAAATACGGACTCTATACAGAGGAAGAGATCTGTGCCCCGTCTGTGTCGGAAAGCTCCCAATTTAGTGTTTTCCGTGGCTCACAATGGGCGCAGTAGCATTCCCTAATCCTCAAACAAAGGGGAAGGGCCAACTGGCCCAGCAGATGCAGTGATAAGGCCCGTGTCATCAAGTAAGGTGAAGAGAGGAGGAAGGTGCGGGACGGCAACGCACTCGCCACTCCTGTGGGAAGACTTGTCATGCCACCTTTCCAGAAGTGATGAAAACAGATGGAAATAAAGACTCTCTCTCTCTCTCTCTCTCTCTCTCCACACACACACACACACACACACACACACACACACACACACACACAAAGCGTTTACAGATGAGTGCACAGCCCCTATCTGTAGGACTGAGGACCGAGCTTGCCTCCATTTCTCATGCTC